GATAAATCATGTATACTGCATTGAAACAGATGAGGGAGAGAACTGCTTAAAAGGGTTTATATGATTAGGTATTATTGTCTTGACATCAGTCTAGAATGAGGGTTGCATAGTGGAGTGGACTTGGGGGAGGGATTGTATAACAATGAAAGAATTTTTCTTTAACTTTTCAAAGAGAAGAGTGAACTGGGGGGAAGGGTGGGCAGGGAGAAAAGGGCAACAATGAATGAGTGGAAATCCAAAGTCTCTATGAAGTTTCATTATTAGTAATAATAATAAAAATAAAAAGAACAACAGTTATTTCCAGTAATTAGAGGTTAGGCTACAAGAAAGAATTGTTACGACATATACATCTTTGTAAAGACATTAAGACAATGCTGCACAAGGTGCTTTTGGACAGAGTGCATGTGGTCCCAGCCCACTTCTCCCTTCCCCGTTCAGCAGAGAGTGAATGGTCAGAGCGGCTAAGGAGTCTGAAGTGGGGGAAGGACTGGAGCTCTGAGCTCTGCTTCTGGCCCAGCCAGTAACCCACCCAGAGACTGTTTGCCCCGGTCTCACGGTTGTCAAGGAATATCTTCCTCACGCTCTCCTGGGACCTCGAATCCTGCCACCCCCTGCCCTGTTTCCACCCAACGAGGAATTTCCGTTAGCCTCCCGTACCCCAAGCCCCAGCTGGCTCTGAGCAGGCGCCCACTCAGCTGTATGCTAAGCAGCCCTGCTAGGCACGGAGCCAGGGATGGACGGCCCAGTTTCTGGCAAGGCAACAAAGAGAGTGACCCCAGAACACCAGGTTGGGAGTAGTATGGATAAGCTAGCACCCGCATTTCAGGGCCCTGAGGTGCATGCAAAATGCTAGGAGGTGCAAGGGTGGCAGCCTGTCTGTTTTCTGTGTGCAGGGTCACCCTGCCCTGTCTCAGTGACCCTCATCCAGCTCCATCCCCAGGCAGGGGTCTCGATAAGGGACAGCCAGCTCCTCACAGCTGTCCTGTACCCCAGTGAGATCCAAACAAGTGCCCTCTTTCAGTCAGACAACCGGCCACCCGAGCTTGCCAAAACAAGGGCCAAAGCTCTGAAAGGGGGTGATTTTATTTTCAAGGGTCTAATGGGACCAGGAGATGGAATAAAAAGTTTCAGCTATTGAAGAAGGCAATAGATGAATATCTTCTTCCAAATAAACAAACTAGCCTTTGAATAAGGAAAACTGCCTTCTAACTGGGTCAGGCCAGGCCAGATCATGGAGGAGTCATGGATTCCTCAGGGACTTCCTCTCTTCACTCTCTGTTCCCCTGTACCTCTCTCTGCTGTCCCTGGGAGCCCAGGGCTCTCCTTCACCCTTGGTGGCTGTCTCATCTGATGACCTCATGAGACACAGACTCCCTCCACGGGTTTGTATTTAGAAAGGGAGTCCACAGTAACCTCTTGGGAAACAGTGGCAAGTCAGTAGTCAAGTTCTTGTCTGCAGGGCAACAGACCTCGGCTCCATTCTAACCAAGACACCGTCGTCAGCAGTCACTGCCCCTCAGCCAGTGGAGGCTTACATGTGGCTGAGATGCTGAGTAAGTTTTACTGGAGTTTTCAGATTAAAAAGAACTCGTCATAAAGAGCTGGTGATTGACTTCAGCAAAAGCAGACAATGAAAATCCTCTGGTTCACAACAGTACAATTTCATTGTGCCTGGGGTTCCTGTGAGCTGGGTGCTGATGAGAGGGCACCTAGTGGCAGCAACAGCTGGGCAAAAGACAAGAAAAGACTTTTCACAGAGGAAGACATTCAGATGGCCAAGAAACACATGAAAAGATGTTCAAAATCACCGGTGGTAAGAGAGATGCAGATCAAAACCACATTGAGATACCATCTCACCCCAGTAGCAGTGGCACGGTTTAGTAGGGCAGCAAGCAATAAATGTCTGAGAGGATGTGGAGAGGTGGGAACTCTCATACACGGTTGCTGGGATTGTAAAATGGTATTCAAATATTTTAAGACAGAATTCCAGGAGAAGAAAAGTTCTTTGTTGCTATTATTAGGTGCAGTCAACTGGAGTATGACCCGTAGCAACTGTATGACCAACAGATTTGAAATTTGTCCTACGCTGTGCCATCGTCACACTTCCTGACACACCAGAGCCCACTGTGGCAGGTACCACAGCAGTCCACCTGGCTGAGGGCCGGGTCTTCTTCTACTTCACTGACTCTCTGCCTTTCCAAGCGTGATGTCGCTCTCCAAGGAATAGCGTCTCCAGCAACGTGCCCAAAGTATGTTAGAGGAAGTTTTATCATCCTTGCTTCCAAGGAGCACTCTGGGTGCACTTTCTCCACAACATGTCTGTTCTTTTGGCCGTCCATAGGATGTTCAGCACTTGTCTCCAATACCACAGCTCATATCACTCTTTGAAGCACAAATTGCTCTTCAAAACTGTGAGCCCTGTCCTCACTACCAACTTTCAATATTTTATAGGCTTTTAAAAAATCAACTAGCATGAAAAATTCCTCTCATGTTTATAACTTCCTCTTCTTCTGATTACAATTTTTTTTTTCTGTGAATGTGTGAAGATTGTGCTATGGGGAGTGATGTACTGGTCTGCCGAGAATGCTTGACAGAGTAGAGAAACACAGGCAATTCCTCTCCACCCTCCCGTTAATATTTGAAGAGCAAGACTCCCAAAATGCACTTCCGTATTTCTGATTTTCCAACATCTTTGACTCTAACGTTCTTAGTACCTAGACTGAGTCAGAAAGTTTGAAAAATATTTTTATTAAATGCTCCATTTGTGGAATGTTTTCAGTAGGATGATAAAAATAATCAAGATCCAACATAAACTATAAAGATGAGATGAGAAGACAGCAGTCCATTAGCAAGTGGGTCTATGTATACAGAATTGATATCTATCAATGAATAAAAATATGTAGCCATATTACAACAGGTATTTAAAGAAAAGTACTAAAGAAAATGGGGTTTGCCCTCACAAAGTACAAATATAAAAAAGCTAAAAGCTACTTATAAAATATACTCTCAGATTTCTTAGCTCTATGCCGATATTGTGATATATGGATAAAAGCCACAAAACCAAAATGGCTGAAAAGATTTTTCTGTGTTTTGTAAATATTTTAAATATTATTAAATATTTTAAATGACTGTTCTGTTTGTGCTTTCTGTGGAAATATTTTCTAAAACTGAAGTTTCGCCTAAGCAGAGTGATTGTATACCAGATTTGAAGTGATGGCAAAATGGTAAGAAATAATACATAAATACAGAACAAAAACCTCACAAAAGAACTGTAGAAGTAAAAATTTAGTAAGTGGTCTATAAAAAGCAAGTGTCTAGACATATCATGTTTCATTATTTAACATAATTGTCTTTTTTGGTTGTTCAAAAAGAAAAATTTGAAGACAATCAAAATGTGTACTTTCAACATACTGCACTGTAGCTTTACCTAGGTGAACAAACACTGAACAGGGTATTAAAAGTCCTGGGCTCTGGACCGTCTACTAAGGTATGTGTAACCTTGCAGATGACCTTTAACTTCACAGCATCTCAGTTTTCACAACTCCAGTCATGGATTTTCAGATGTGAAATTGACAGGGAGGGAATTTCATCCCCAAATGCTCCCAT